TTCAACTCCCAGAATTCCCTAGCCAGCCATGCTGGCTAGGGAATTCTGGGAGTTGAAGTCCACACATCTTCAAGTTGTCAAGGTTGAAAAACAGTGGTCTAGGAGCATTGGATACTTTTCACCTTTGCTGCTTTACATTGTTAAAAATAAATTAAATCTCATTTTTTTATAAAAGGTGGATGCTGTGTTCCTAAAAAAGCATTCTTCTAAAATGGGAATGTTTGTTTTGTCAGTTGCCTTTATGGTTATGAAGCAAGGATGTGACTACATTCTGAAAATCCATGTGAGGTGGCTAGACTGATGTCTGTTGGACTTCCTTTTTGCCCCTGGCGGGCTTTGATGTTGAGTTGAGGCCAGTGCCAGTTGGTGGGAGAAATGGGACTTGACTAATTCGTACTTGGGTTTTACTGTATGTCTCTTTCAGATTTTGACGCAAAGCAAAAGAGAAAAATAGCCGAGATCTACCAAGTGCTAAACAATGAGCCTGTTGACATTGCTCCCCTCCGGCGCATGGCTATCAGCGAAGGAGGTCTCCTCGTGGATGAGATTCGCTGCAAAGTATGGCCCAAACTGCTCAACGTGAACATAGATGACCTGCTCCCTACACCAGGTGAAGGCCCCTGGCTCTTGCCACCACCTGCCAAGCCTTGGAGCGTAGGGGTGGGGTGTGAGCCCACCTACATCGAGGGCGTTCCAGCAGATCTCTCTTCTGTTGCTTCTCATAAACTCATGGTTGTTTTTTGACAGCCCTTCTGACATGTGTAGGCTATGAAAAGCAAATCAGAAATCACTAGGATCTTAAAGAATTTAAAATGTCCAGAGTCCTGTAAGAGTTTCCGTAGTTTTAGGCTGTACAGATGGCAATGTCTATACAGAGTCCAAGTGTGTATGACGGATGGCATTGTCATGGTTTATTTTTTTCAGTGAAGAGGAAGCTGCTTTGCAGAGATTATAGGGGGAGAGCCGTGTTAGTCTATGGTGGCAAAAAATCAGGAGTCTGGTAGCACCTTTTCCAACTAACCAATGTTATTAAAAGGCACAGGTTTTTGTGAGCTGCAGTGTGTGCCTTTTAATAAAATTGGTTAGTTGGAAAGCCAAACTCCTTGTGATTTTCTGCTTTGCAGAGATGTCGGATGATAAAGCGGTTCTCACTTGAAGTCTTTATGGTTTAATTGCATATTTTCTTAGCTTCCGAGCCTTTCTTTGTAAGTATAATTAACTGTAACATCCTTTGCTGTTCCTCTTAGAGGAAGAACTTCGGGAGAATAGCAAAGATTATCAGCAAGTATTGTTGGATGTGAGGCGATCCCTCCGACGTTTCCCTCCAGGTATCGTGAACAATCAATCCTCTTTCTGACCACGAAGCTCCTGAGTGTCTTGCAGAATTACTTCAGTTGAGACAGGCTCATTTACTGCAGCATCCCCCAGAGAAGCATAAGGGTTACAGTTCTGCAGCAGCCTGCTGTTCGTTCTGCAGCTCTGCTGACTCTTCCTGCAGAACGGTTGTTCCCAGGCTTCCTTGCTAAAAAACCAGGAGAGCTGAATGTTCTCATGTTACAGGATCCCTTCCCAGCTTAACCTAGCACTTGCGATATTGTGGCTATAGCAACACCCCAGTCAGTCTTTAGAGAGGCCTTCCCCTGGTTTATCTGCCTTGGGTTTCCTCTTGGCCAGTGGGGTATTGCTTCAGCAGTGCTAAACGGGTTGCTTTTAGCTACTGATTGCAACGTGTTGGGCTGCTCTTAAACCACAAGTTCTTATCATGCTATTTGTTTGCTAACGCACCCAAAGTAAGTCATGCTTAAAACTGCACTAAAGGTTTTGGTACACCCTGTATAGAAAAAGGACCAGGTTTTTGTACTTGTTACTCACCGAATCAGGAACTGATCTGGCAGCCCAGGGCATTTGGAGCTGAAACATTAGGAGCCTGTTTGTAAAGTGTAATTGTTGAACCATAATTCTTCCTGCACAATGGCTAGTAAAAGTGTCTCCCATTTGGATTTGCAATTCAAATCAACTAAATACAGAAACATACTGTACAAAGTGTTCATCTGCTGAATGTGACTGGGGATTGCCCTCACTCGGTAATGTGTGCAGCATTGCATTTCCCTGTCCTGCTGCTCTCAGAGCCCGTTGCGACTTGAGATGCTAGAGCAGTGTTTCTCAACCTCAGCAACTTTAAGATGTGTGGACTTCAACTCCCAGAATTCCCTATCCAGCCATCTTAGAGCCAGATATCTAAAACCTTCTGCCTTTGCCATTTCTCTTTCCATCTGGGCACTGGAGCTATATTGATGCTTCATGAGGCCAAGGCTGTCTTTTGATTGGAGGAAAAATAAATTATATGGGAAGTGTGCTCGGATTCCTTGGATCATAGGATATCCACTATCAGGCAGGGATGCTGAAAAACTAGCAACAGCTGACTAGACTTTGTTGCAGAAGAATCAAGGACAAGAAGCAACATTTTAAGCAAACAGCGCCTTTGCTTTCACAAGTTCAGCCGTGCAGGAATTGTGTGCCATATTTTAAGGATGATGATGGGAATGACGACATCATAAACCCAGAAATCTCCTGTCAATTTTACTTGCTGCTCTTTAGCACGAATCCAGAAAGATAGCAATAGGTCGTCAGTCCTAGCCTGGCAGTTCCTATAGGGGAATAGGATTCGGATAAGCTGGTTTCTCTGCTTCTTCCTTCTTGCATTGCCTCCCTGTGCTCACTCATTCTCTTTCCCTCCCCCTAGATATGCCAGATGAGCAAAGGGAGGGACTGCAGGAAGAGTTGATAGACTGCATCCTGCAAGTTCTGCAGCGCAACCCACAGCTCCATTATTACCAGGGCTACCATGACATCGTGGTCACATTTCTTCTCGTCGTGGGGGAGAGAGTGGCCGCCACCCTTGTGGAAAAACTTTCAACCCATCACCTCAGGTACCCTTTTATCTGTCAGAATATCTGTAGCTCAGTTTGCAGGCCTAATCATAGCTCCTGGGTTGCTGGTCAGCATGAACATTTGGTTCTAGAGACAGGGTTTGGTTTCTGGTTTTTGCTTTTTAATATTGCATTGCTTACTATAGAAACCAGGAAACAAACATAGATACAAAAGAAATATGAGAATGAGAAAAGAAATAGATCTAATGCAGTGCAGGTATTATACAAAATAGCTCTGGTTTAAACAACACATACCCACGCAGAATAATATTTCATCTTGAATCTTTCCAATTCAAAAGCAGAGAGTAAACACATCCTGTGCTCTCCATCCTGCATTTAAAATCCAGAATAGCAATATTTTTCCACTCTAATGCAACAATCCTTTTTGCTACACTCGTGTATAATATGATCCAAACTTCTTTCTAAATCTTTACATAGCATATTTTTGGTATCTAGTTCCAACATCATGTTCACATCTTTAACCCTTACTTCCTTTCCCAAAACCAAATGAACAAACTTCTGAACTTTAAACCAAAACAGGACAACCGTAGGACACACCCAAATCATGACTCAACATCCCCTCCACTAATAGCAAAATGGCTGACCATCGGCCTTTCCTAAACATCCTTTGAGGAGTACAATAAACTACTATTTTCTTGAATTGCAGTTTGCGTCACTTGTACTGTGTCCTTAGTGTTGTTCCTTCTCAGTGATGTCGGGGGAGGCAGGGTGCGGCTTCACCATTGTTGCATTATAGCTTGGCTAATCCTGTGTTGGTTGCAGGGATTTTATGGATCCAACGATGGATAACACCAAGCACATCTTAAATTACCTGATGCCCATTATAGACCAAGTGAACCCGGATCTCCACGATTTCATGCAGAGGTAGACTAAGTTTGGGGACTTCCTTTTCTTTCAAGTATCCAACAAACCTGGGGCCCTGGAAATCCCGTTGTTGCTGTAACTGGAACTGTGCTGGTGGTTTCCTTGGTGCTTGTCCTGCAAGGTTCTTGGTAGGAGAAACAGAACTTGGTGAATGCTATGAATCTCTTAGTGACTTCCAGACCTTCCCTACTAGTATGATCTGCTGGATTCTGGTTCAACCTGGGCCACCTTCATAGAAGATACCATGCACTCTTGTTCCTAAATTGCTCTTCAGATCAGGAATTCCTGTGTAATATCTAAGTGAGTTATCCTGTAAGCGTGTTAGAATCAGCATGTCTTCAGTGGACAGAATAGTAAAAAACACTCCATTCTTTTCTCATCCAGATTTCAACATCAGTTGTTCACAAGCGTGGAAGTTTTTGTTTAGTCCCATTCCCAATGTTTCGTGCTAAGATGTGGTTTGAGGTAGACATATTTTGTAAATTAAGTCACAGTGGCTAGATTCACAGATTCTGCAGAGCTCTCAGACCCATTGCCTGAACCACAATGGTTGGTTCACACTGTACATAAAATGTGAGCAAACCACATGTCACTTAGCACAGAACACGACTCTGCAAAATAATTTTTTCCACCAGGCTGTGGATTTGTTTACTTCTTCACTCCTGCTGCTTTGTAAAATGCCCTGAAATGCAATTTTTAAAAAATTTGTTTGCATATTTGAAGCATTTTAACATGCCTATTTGAGCACAGATATACCCATCAGATAATGTATACCATAAAATTCACAATCCAGTGACATTTCTAATGAATTTTAAATCTCTGGAACCATTATAAGAAAAATATTAACCCTTGGTTTTAAAAATGCCTATTGGGAGAGAGAAATGTTAGTTGTACCTTCCAAAGAGAGGATATTCTAGGATCTCTGGAACCAAGCCAAGGCCTGTTTTGCAGAATACGTACTACTTATGCACCAAAATGTTTCACAGAGTGAAAAGAGGCTGAAACTGGGATCCTGGGTCACCAAAGAACAGTGCAGTCTGTTTGTGGGAACTGTTGTCTCTTGATAGAGCCCTTTCTGGGCCCGACACTCCACAGCCACCAGCAAGACTTCCTCTCTCCAGCTTCAGTCATTGGGATGGTGCGTGGGAAGTTTTTCCGAAGCAAGGAATTTGGGGTTTGGTCTCTGAAGGGAGTTGATGCAGCTTGCCTGGTGCAGCAGTCCCTTTCTAAAGCAGGACTGGGATGTCAGGCAGTTGGGCTGGATAGCTGGTCTTGGGGGTAGGGTTGGTAATCATTTGGGAAACTTCTGCTGCTTCTGAATGTGATTTTATAGGGACACATTTAATTTTTATTAGTGTTAATGTTTTGAACTGAGCAAGAAGTTCCTATGACTCCTTACGGAGTCCCCCCCCAAGAATTTAACCTCAAAATTGGGGTGGGGGTAGCTGTGGATCCAACTGGTACCTTCTTTTTCAGGCTCAACTGGTGTTTCCCTTAAAAGAAAAAGGGAAACACCAGCTGCAGCCGTGTCTATGCTCTGAGGAAAGGAAAAAGAGTCAGATCTGTTTCCTGGGTGGCAGGCTTTTCATATGGAACTTTCTTTCCTTTTTTGCACAGGGCCGAAGTGGGAACCATCTTTGCCCTCAGCTGGCTGATCACTTGGTTTGGACACGTCTTGTCTGACTTCAGGCACGTGGTGCGGTTATATGACTTCTTCCTAGCCTGTCACCCGCTGATGCCCATCTACTTTGCAGCAGTGGTAGGTGACAGCAGGGAAAACGAATTGGACCAAGCATTGATTTTAAACGGAGAAGGAGAAGGAGAGCCATTGTGAATAGGACCAAAGTTTTATTGGTCTCTAGTCCTGTGATCCCAGAGGGGCCAACCAGGAGCCTCTCAGAACCCCAAAAGGAGGGCATGAAGCATAACAGCATCTGACTCAACCTTTTCATCAGGGAACATCCCCTTCCCTTCCCTTCCCTTCCCTTCCCTTCCCTTCCCTTCCCTTCCCTTCCCTTCC